TGTGAATAAGCAAGCACTTGTGCACAGGCTTGGTCTCATGTGTGTCACCGCAACGTTTTCCACTCAGGGGCCCCTTAGAGCCAGATCTACCGATCAGCGAGTTAGAGAGAAAAGTGAGCCATAGTTTTGCAGCCTGGGTTCTCGTCCATCTTGTCAGTTGGCACCGGAGCCCGGTTGGCACGATCACCGAGGACGAGGAGATCTCCAGGAAGCTCCTTCGCCGGAGTGCTTTGTCGGCCGGTGAACAGGCCCTGAGAAGGCAGCTGCAGGCAGACCAGCCTGACCCAGACAACCACCACGCGCAGTCTTCTGTTACAAGGCGGGTCAGCACTGCGAGGCAGCAGTGGCAGAAGGAGGAGCAGTACAACGACCTCACGGCAGCGATTCTCAGAAGCCTTAAGGTCCCGTTCAAGGACTTCTTCATCGAAAAGCACTTCAACGAGGCCAGCAGCGAGGAACCTGGAGCAGAGTCCGAGGAAGAGGAGGTCGTGTCCAGATCCAGGTCACCCAGGCCAAACGAGCGAGAGCAGGCTTCGTCGTCGACCTCTACGGCCCGGTTCGCGGCTTCTTCTTCGGCGCGACCGTCGACAGTTTTGACTACAAGTTCTGGCGGCCCGAGCTCATCAAGCAGGACTTCCGGATCTTCTGGCAGATTCTCCGGGGCGACTTCGAGCTGAGCCAGCTCTACCTGTTCGAGGGTCGAGATGGCGGAAGAAGGTCAAGCTCCACCACTGCGAGACAAGAGATCCGCCGCCAGGCTGGAACGGAGAACGGCCGGAGACCTCATGGAAACCGCTCCTTCGAGACCTGGAGCTGTGGGAGGCGGTGACGGACCTCCCAAAGGCCAAGAGGGGAGTCAAGCTTGTTCAGGCCCTTAGCGGGCCCGCTAAGGAGGCCGTGCAGTCCTTGACGGTCAGCGACCTCATCGCCGAGGACGGGCTGAAGAAGGTCACGAAGGCGCTCAAGGATGCCTTTGCTCCATATCAGGAGACGGCGCTTCCGAGGGCAATGGAGTCTGCTATCTTCGGGGCAGCACGCTCGCACAAGGAGAGTCTGCCCGAGTACATTGTTAGATTCCAGCAGGCGCAGGCCACCTTGAGGTCTGAGGGCGTCGACCTTCCGAACAAAGCAGCGGGCTACCTTCTGTATCGCCAAGCCAATTTGGACCGCGATTCAGAGGCAAAGCTCACCACTTGGCTGCAAGGAGATTTTTCCCTCGACGCTGTGCTGCTGAACCTCAGGAAGCTAGACCGGGTTTCAGCTGAAAGTCTGAAAGCAAGAAAGGCACGTTCTTTGGAGAGCAAGAGCCAGAGCAAGACGAGGAGGACGAATGGCCAGAGGATGGCGACGACTACTTCCCGGTCTGGGACGAGGCCCAGGACAGCGTCGAACCGGACGAGAACGACGTCATCGACGAGGAGGACCTGGTGGACGTGCTCGCCAGCTACCAGGACGTTCGGCAGGCCTTGAAGCAGACCAGGAATGTTAGAGGCTTCTACCCCCCGCGCTTTCCAGGCGCAAAGGGCAAGAAGGGCCACGGCAAGGGAAGCTCCTTTGGTCCAGTCCCTGGAAAGGGGAAAGGAAGCGGAAAGTAAGGCAAGGACAGAGGGATCACGATCCAGGAGCTGAAGTTGCGCACGCGGTGCAGGTCCTGTGGAAGGATCGGGCATTGGAGCAAGGAATGTCCGACTAACAGCTCATCACGTCCCTCAAGTTCCGCGGCAAGCCCTTCGTCTGCTCCCTCGACCGCGTCTGCTCAGGGCACCTCCTTCTACTGGGCTGGCAGAGACTCAGGTCCCGTGACGGAGTTTTTCACCGAGAGCGTTCCAGATGCAAAAGTGTCCTTCTTGACTTCAGACCACAGCAGTGCAGATGTGCCGTTCGTGGGTGTCATAACTTCGAGTGCGGAAGCCATTGTAGACACTGCAGCGCAAGAAGGTCTGATAGGTCGTCCCGCTCTTCTTCGTCTTTTCGAGGCGCTTAGGAAGTTTGGGCTGAAAGGGCGGTGGACGGGTGAAGCTTCGGAGGCACGGGGCATCGGAGGCGCGGCCAAGACCTTGGGGGTCGTGGAAGTTCCTGTGGGCATAGGGCGCGTTCCGGGAGTTGTGGCGCTTACGGTGGTGACCGAAGATGTTCCCTTTCTTCTTCCTGTAAGCCTTTTGCGAGCTCTTAAGGCGAGCGTGGACTTGGGTGAAAATCGTCTGCACCTTCGCGCCGTCAACACCGATTGTGTCATGAATGTCCTTCCTTCAGGTCATCCTACAGTCAGCGTTCTTGACTTTGGACATGGCTGGTTTCTTCCTGA